CTTTGCCTTGGGGGTCTCCTCTTTGACCCAAGTATTCTTTAAAAGTATATTCCAGGTATTTTCACAGTATTGATTTATTGTCTAATTGTGTTATAGTCCTAAACATTTTGTATTATTTCAGTTCTTTTGTGTTATTTGAGGTTTGTTTTATGGTTCAAAATATGGTCTATGTTGCTCAATGTTCTGTGTGCATTTGGAAAGGATGCTGTTGTTGGATGGGCTGCTCTCAATGCCAGTCAGGTCAGGTTGGTTGACACTACTGTGCAGGTCTTTTATACCCCTCCTGACTTCCTGCCTGCTGGTTCTATCGATGCTGAGAGAGGAATGCTAAAGTCTCCAGCCATAACTATGGGTTTGTCTATTTCTCATTTTAGTTCTATCAGTTTTTGCTTCATGTGATTTGAAGCTCTGTTGTTAAGTACATAGATATTTAGTATTGTTATGTAATGGCCATCTTCATCCCTACTAATATTACAGGTCTGAAGCTTACTTTGTGTGACATTAACATAGACACTCTGATTTTTCTTTTGATTGGTGTTAGCATAGTACATCTTTCTACCTATCCTTTTACTTTAAAGTTATCTGTCTTTATAATTGAAGTGGGTTTAACTGATGTGCTTAGAAGAGATATTTTTATAAATAAGAAAATATCCACTATGTTTGTGATCCCAAGATTAATTATTTTTTCTGGGGTAACTTCTTAAAGTTTGCATTTTTACTCAGCCTTTTTTTTTAAAGCTGTGAGAGGAAGGAAGATGGAAGAATCTAATTTGAGGTAAGGGAATTGGCACCATGTTAAGCCCTCTCTAGTCTGCCTAATACTCCGCTAGATCCTTTGCTCTCATCACTGAGTGTGACAGGATTATTCTCCCCAACTTACTGACAGGCAATTCTGGCTCCATAGCACAGGCTGCCAGTGGTCCTCCATTTTCATTCTCCCCTTCTTCCATAGTAATAATATAATACCTGGGCAAGGTATTAGAGCACATTTACCAATCTCTTTTTTAATGAAAGTTGTCTTGTGACTTAGTTCTGGCCAATGAGATCTAAGCTGAAGTGTAGTTCCTGGAAACGTTCCCCAAAGAGAGCACTCTCTGTTTCTTTGCTCATTCCTTCCTCCACCCACTACCTGCAGTGCAGATACGATGGCTGCAGCACCACTGCCATGCCGGACCATGAGGACCAGGGCCACAGTCTTGGGCAGTAGAACAGTGAGCCATAAGTATCTGGGCCCCTGTGCACCCTGTGGAGCAGAACCATACCTGCCCCTGGGTGTTCCTCCTGACTTCTGTATAAGAGAGAAATAAAAATCTACCTTGAGTAAGCTTCATTCTTTGGGGAGTTTGTTTTTTGCCCCTGAACCCAACCCTAATGAACAGTCTGAGACCAATGAACATCGTAAGTGTTACATAATCACAATCTACTCCATGTTTGGACAGATCCATACCAGCATCTGTTATGGTTTTGTGACAAAGTCATACAGAATTGGAAGAAAAGGCTATTTTATTTTATCTTATTTTTCAATTTACTAAATTAAAAATTACAAAAATAATTTGGTGGTGGGGCTGAGATGCCATGGAAAACTTACATACTGTGTATAGAAGATTTAGACTTGGGTTAAGAGTAGACTCTGTCCCATACCAGTTGTATGTTCTTAGGGAAGTTACTAATCTGTCTGGGCCTCAATTTTCTATAAAATAAAGATACCAACACCTACTTCATTGAGTTGTTGGAATGAATAAATAAAATATATGTGACAGAGTTTGTTAAGTACTAAGCACTATGTAAATATAAGGGTTATAATTATAAAATTGGAAGACAAGTTATATGTATAACCCAGAAAGGTAAAGTCATTACACATACAAACTCACAGTGGTGTTTGTATGTATGTGTGGGTTGCTAGTTACAAATGAGAATACATTGAAAAATCCATTCTAGTAGTAACTTAAAAACATAAAAAAAAACAATTTGTGGCATATTGTTACAAACATAGATTCCTATCATATCGTCACATCAAAGCTGTCAGAATTCTTTAATATCTCTTATTTTATATTATAAAACATCCCCTTTTTTGTTTGTTTTTTGTTTTTGCTTTATTTCAATAGGTTGACTCTAGTCAAAATGTAGATTTAACCATTTGAGTTTCTGTACAATACCCAAGAAATTCTGCCAGAATGATTGCTTTGTTCAAAACTGCTTTCTGTTTTAAAACTATTCATACTAAGTGTTATTAAAGTGTTAAATAGAGATAAAAAAGAAAAGTCCATCTTCAGTCTGAAGCTGGCAGAAAGATAAAAACCCAATGGACCTGGATTGAGGTGGGAACAGCCAGAGTACAGGTTATAACAAGTTCTAGAGAGGAAGGGGGCTAAGAGAGGGCGATGGAAGACATGTGTGGAAGCAGACGACAGCCTTGGGGACTGGGGCCAGTGGTAGGTAAATAAGACCAGAAGGAGGGCAGCTGAGGGGACTGAGAACTTCAAAGATGAGAGGCACTTTCACACCAAATTCAGGCAGTCACAGCTGTGAGCAGCCCGGAGGAAAGAATAAGGCAGGAGGCGTGTTGTGGAATTGGTGCTGGCCCAACTCAAGTTTGCATGTGTATCTCAACAGCACTTGTGTCTGGCTGGGAGAACATCAGGGCCAAGCAGGAGTGTCAGCCAGAGGCTCCATCTGAACTAGCTATGCACTGCATATGTTTCTCTGTCTGGTGGAATTCATCTAATATATTTTTTTAAGGCTCAGATTTTCTAATAGGGCAGTTTTGTGGAGAGAGGATCATAAGCATCTGCCTGATGGCAGTTAACAAAGTGAAGACTAAGGTCTCGAAAGGAAACCTGCTTCTAGGAAGAACATCTTATAAGTCTATTTCAGCATTTACACCTATAAGAGCAACCCCTCACTTATTCAATATTTGACTTCCAATTTCCGGTGTCCAAAGGGGTCGGGTCCCTGGCGGCGGAACTTGGACCCAACAGTAGCTTATTCTAGTTTACAAGTATGATAGAATGTTTTATAACTATTAAATGTCAAGCATGAAAAGTTTTTTTTATACCATGAAAAGATGAATGAGGAAATGCATAGTTTTTCTTTCTGTAGGTGTGCAAAATGGGTAATTCCTAAAAATGATTGTGGCACCCATTGGTCCAGGGCACATTCACTGGGGTAGCCGGTTTCAGTATGTGCTCAATAATTGTACTCCTCCCCTCCCTACCTGCATCTACCCAAATCTTAGTTGTCCTACAAGGCCATCTCAGATAGCCGACCCTCCACAGCCTTTGGTTGTAAGCTTGAGGACACGAGTTGCGTCTTAGTCACCACTCATGGTGCATAGCACTGGGCCACAGCTGGCCCACATGGCGCCTTTGTGCACATAGAAAAAAGCACTTCTCCATGTGGGTGGCAGCAGCCCCATGCCAGCTGGGGCACAGTGGGCTGCAGTGGGGCTGCCTTTTAGCCCCTTTCAGAGGAATGCCCTATTGCAGGCTATAACCTACTTTTTGCAGCTTCCTCCCCGCTTCCAAGTCTGAATTTACAAGCTTTAGAAATTCCTCATTTCTATTTAGAGATAGGCTTGACCATCTCTCTTTGTCTACCATCATCTGTAAGTCAGGTTTGTAAGCTTAATTCTGTTTTCCTCTCGAGGGAATACCTTGCAGGTCAAGACACTAGAATTTATGAACTTCAGTTAATGTTGAGCCCATATTCCCCTGGCTTTCTACCCTCACAAATGCAGTCTCTACAGTGGCTCAGGCACTTGCTGCCTAAGTGTCTGCTGGGGCCGGATGCTGGGCTGAGTGGCCAGGCCATGGGCTGCCAAGGCCATCCGCCCTCCCCCTACCCATGGCTTTTTCATTTGGCAGGCGATTTCTGCTTCTATTCTTAGCACTAATACAGAAATGAAATAAGACAAATACAAAAAACTCAGTGTAATCTTTGTGTGGTTCTTGCTGCATTTAGAAGCTTCTGGAAAAGACAGAGGGAAGCTGCACTGGATTTGGCCCACCACACCCAGCTAGGTCAGGGTGCACACCCCCAGGTCCAAAGCTTGGCCTCAGAGTGCAGACATCTCTCTGGGGAGGGATTCACCCTAGAGTGAAAGACAGCTCCCTCTGCTTTGGGTGGAAGGCACTACTAACCTAATAGTTATGAGTCACCTTTACAGGCTGGGGGGAAAGGCGCTGGATGGCTGGGCCTGCTCTGTCCCTCTGCTCCTGGAGGGAACCACCCTGCATATATGGGCTGTCCCAGGACTACACTGGGCGGAGGACAAGTGCTCACTGGAAAGAGAAGATAAGGGGATAGACTATATTTATCTCACTTTTGCTGACTGCTTCTTGGGAGAAAAGAATAGCAGGTTCTCAGGAGTGAAATGGTATCAAGAAAGGGAAGATGGCAAGTACTTGGTCTGATCTTTGGCTTCAAGTGAAAGCCCCAGGGTCTGGGGACCGTCCTGTCAGTTGTGAGGTCTCTCATGGTTCAGACTGAACAACGCCATCCTATCAGCAGACCAGGAGTTTCAATACGAACCTCAGCATTTGACCCACCCAAATTTGTGTTGCTGACCTAGTGCTCTATCAGAGAGTATTTTGGGGCAGGGCAGGCAGCCATGGAACACTTGCATCTTTCAGAGCGCCTCCTGTAGCCCACCACAGCTGGGCTGCTGATCCTGGCGCTCTGCCTGCCCAGGGGGGCCTACATGGAGCGTTGCTTGTCATAGCACAAACAGATGGATGGATGGGCTGCCATCTGTGAGGAGCAGAGTCAAGGCCTGATTAGCTCCACTGTGAACTGTTATGAAGCTGCTTTATAACCAGAGACATAAAAAATATGGCTCCCTGCAAGGCTGCAACAGCCCACCGTTGTTCTGGTAAGACACTTCATTTGTCTAGGCAGCTTTGCTCTGGCTTATTACATGAGGCATAATTGCTTTTGTTACACATTCACAGGTATCAGGAAAAGACATTCTGCCCGCTCCTCATTTTCAATGCCCTACTTACCAACTTCATCCCTGATGTTGGCAAGTTCGATTGACAGCTCTTTTTCTTTCACAAGGGCACTTTCATTCTGAAAAAACAAAACGAACACTGAGAGTCCCCTAGTTTTATGCTAGATAAGCACTTCCACATGTTTAATTAATGAATCATATTAAGCAAATATTTATAAGCCTAAACCTTAAGGAGAAAATTTTCTCATTATATAAGCATATAAAAATATACAAAGCCAAGTCTTATTCATTTGGATCACATTCAAAGTGCAAAGCTTGCAATATAATATTAATACTATCCGTGGTTGTGCTTTCTCCATATTGCTCTTGAATAGATCACCCTTCAATACTTTTTGCATCTCTATGTCCTTCACATTAATCTACTGTTATATATTATTAAACATTGTTAATTAGCACTATTATGAGATTTTTGACTATGAAAATGTGCATGTCATATTTCTCTGAGGGGCAAATGCTTATTTTACTAACTGCCTTCTTAAACTTGCCCTTTCATTCAAAGATGCATGGTCAGCTCCCTAATGAATAATGAGCGCAACATATAACATAAAACATTTCTCTTTGTAATTAGACCAACAATAAAACATAAGGCTTCAGAGTGTTTTGTGTGTGTGTGTGTGTGTGTGTGTGTGTGTGTTGAATTCTGTATCAATAGAAGGAATAAGAAGAAATCTCTCCCTTGAAGTATCATTTAGTAAAAATACATCATTTGTAACTAAATAACTGCTAAGCTGGTTGCAAATCAATACATTCTATGACACAAGAGAGAAGTAGTTGAAGCAATGCTGAACATACAATCTTCGTTATTGAGTCACCATAAACATTTACCTTTCTTGTGATTTTATTACTATTACAATAACTAAGAAAGATGTGCCATGTAAATTCTCTTCAAGTGAGAGATCCCAAAATATAAAGTTTCTGTCATTCTGTAGAATGTACTCCACTCCCACAGCAAACATTTCTGAAGAGGAGAAATTGGTAAAATGTGTTCCAAATATCTAGCATGAATATCACCGGGCCTTGTGAATGCTCTCTCTTTATTAACCCCCTTTGACACTGGTTTTAGCACCTTGAGGAACCTGTGTCAGATTTGAACAGACAGTTTTCACAATCTTGTTTCTGTGTCTGCTGTGTTTAGACCTCGGTAACCCCTGTGTCACTTTGAATTAAGGGAAGGGTTTCAGTTTATCCAAAAGGCATTTGCTAGGCAAAGTCATAATTTTATAATGTTAAAATAAAACTCTATTTGCAGAATAAACTGAGAGCTATTTTGGACCCAGGTATCAACAGCCATTAATTAGCTCATGGTTCTCTTAGGAACAATGTAGCAATGATATGTCCTTTGAGGGACAATGGACCCCATCTCTTTCATGAAGCTCTCGCCTCCCATCCCAGCCCAGAGGATCCTTGCCTCCCCTGAATTTGAAAGCTAGAAATCCCACCTGCGGGTGTGTACTTTCCTAATCATTAAGCCTTGCTGCCTCTATGCCAAGACCATGGTATAGGGTTGTCATGATGGGTTATAAATTAATATACGTAAAGTCGTTAGAATGGTGCCTGGCACTTAGCAAGCTCTCCACAGGGGTTATTTGTTATTATCACTCCTCTGATTCCTTTTATTGTATTTGTAACTAGATAGCATCCTATAGATAATAGGTGCTTTTCATATTAATAATCAAAATGTGTTTAACATTTTTATGCCAATCTCATACTGTTTTTTTTTTATGTTTTTTTATAGCACCTTCCTGGCTGTGCCCTGATTCTACTCCAAGTTCAAAGGCAGAACAGAACAGGGAATGCATTTTAATCAGACTGATCACAGTGACTATATGCTTGTTCTATACAATATGGCCAGCTGACATTCAGCTTGTTACTACCAGTTGAGAAGATCTGGTATTCTGGAGAGGGTAAATCCCAGTATTCACTCTACAATAATCGTAATCTAATGAAAAAACTAACTTGTTTCTACTATCCAGAATACTTTTGAACACTTGTATTCTTAGTTCCTAAGTAGAGCCAGAGGATCAAAATACTGTACTTTTCAGACCAGAAATAGCATCACTCAAATATTCACTCTCAGAGTGCAGAGAGGTGTGGGCACCGAGAGGTGGTCAGGCAGTGAACAACCAGAACTTAATAAACAACAAACGAACTTGTATTTCTAACCCAAAGCCAGTAGTTCCCTCTGCACCAGGCAGTAGCCCTTGGGAAAGAAGCCCTGAAGGGAATGTGAACATGCCTGGGGGATCTCCCTGTCATACCAAACCCCTGGACACTTTCCGGCCACAGGGGAATCAAAGGTTTTGGGAAGGAGAGGCCTGAAGGTCCTCAGCAGGGAGGAGGACGGGCCTCAGCTGGGGATAGCCCTCACTGCCATGGAGATGGTCCACAAAGACTCTGGACTTGATCGCTTTGGGGAAAAGCTAATTCTGATATCTGTGGCCAGGCCTGTCTCACTCTCTTTGTTGTAGGAGAAACACAAGTGAGAAGAAAAGAAAGGGAGGGGATGGGAAGAGAGAAAAGAAGGAAGGAGAAATAGGCAGGAAGCAGGTGAGACTGGAGACCCTGCACCTGCTCAGGGAAGCAGAGGCGGTTGAGAGAGACTGAGAAGAATGATCCCATCCACCCTCATCCCCACCCTTTTACAAGTGCAGGCGAGAAAACCAACTAGTTTGAAACTACAGTCATCAAACGGCTTGCCAAGGAAAGGTCAGCTGCCTCACATAAGCCACAAACACGATGCTTCAAATGTTCACATTAACATGAACCTCCCCAAACACTTTCTACACGCCAGGCACTGTGCCAGGTAAGCCCTATACCTCACGACTCCTCCAAATTCAGCCAACAGGTCCTGGGTTTTTATTTGCCTTTATGGAGGACAAGACTGGGGCTGTATGGTTACGTAACCAGTCAGAAGTGGCAAATACAGGAGCTTTAACCCAGAATCACACTCTTCATCAAACACTAACACACCGAGATTCTCCCCTCCTATCCATGCTTATCTAGAGGTAACATCAAGGTTCAAACTGCATTGCTCCTCAGATGGGCTCCTAACACTTCTTACCACGAAGATTTCCGTGTCTGATGGGAGAGAGGCCGTGTCAGCTTCTGACCACTGTTTCAATGAAAAATTCCCCAGCTGTATTCACACCCCACCCACCACCTGAACCACTCGGATTTGTCCTTGGTGTTGATTTGTCTGTTGGGTGACAGGACCTTTGCAGTGTAGCCTGCATGGGGCTGTACCTTCTGAGTGGGTAGCTATTCAGCTTTCCCTACCGGCTTTCCCCAGCCCTCTCTGATGGCCTTTGAGTGAATATATTGCTGCTGGGACCCTGGCGTGGCCACGCTCTGCTGCTGACGGCCAGCCTGTGCAGTTTGGCGACAGGCCTTCCCTAAGTGCTTGTTCTTGAAACACCCACTTTTCTAATTTCTGAATTCTCTGCATCAATGACGTTAGCTTTTGTTTTCTGCTGGCCAAACCGGAATGACGGGTGCTGCCGTGCCATGCAATGACCAAGGCTGTAACTGCAGGAACACTGTCCTGGGCAAGCAGTGAGCTTAAAGGGGCCTTCACTCTCTCCTCTTTGCCTCAAAAAGTTGTTCTCCATCCATCGTGGTAAATAGATCCCAACAGCTGCCTTGCTAGGCCCTCAGGTTCTGCTCAATACCCAGGAGTGAGGCTGCCCCAAAGGCTCCCGTGGAAAGGATCTCATGCCACCATGCCCCTTCGGTGCCCCAGCTAAGCCAGGTCCGGGGTGGTGACATGGGGGACGACTGGAATGCGATCCAGGCCTCCTGTTCGGCCCAGTGTTAGGCCAGTGCTTCCCTACATGGGGGATGAGAGGAAAATTCCTACCTGGTGCCAAGCACATGACTCCTGCTTTCACTCCAAAGGGCTAAAAATAGAGCTCAGGATTAACCATCCCAACCATCCTAGTGATACAGTCCAGAAATCGCCAAGTCTAAGAAGGCCACCCTCTGTTTACTGTGTGACAGGCTTAACTGGAACGGACCCTGGAGAACATTCTAAGTCCACACCAGCAGCTGTGTCTTATCAGCTACCTCTCATATTTGGTCACGGACCTCTGCTTTGCACTCTGAGTTCTCTATTCTCTCCAGTGTGGCACATTGCAGCCACAGAGGAATCCAAATGAGCTGACCCATGAGCCCTCCAGTCTCCCCTCCATGAGCCCTCAGAAGATCCCTGAGAGTCTGCTAGGGTGAAGCCTACAGTTCTCAGATATCACTCCCATGGGGCTGCTCACAATCTCTGGGTGTTACAGATGCCTGGCAAAGCATGGGACCTGCTAATCATTCCATTAACTTCAAGCAACTGGATGTGTGGCCAAGCCCTGGCAAACCTGCCACTCCCTTATTTTAACATGTGAACCTGGTGGTAACAGGATGTGAACAAGTCTCTCCTTGTTAACATCATCCACGTGATTCCTAGTGGGCACCAGCAGCTAAGCCCCTCCTTGAATTAGAAGCCAACAGAACAGACCGTAGCCAGTTTGGCTCAGTGGATAGAGCACTGGCCTGTGGACTAAAGGGTCCCAGGTTCAATTCTGGTCAAGGGCACGAACCAGAATCGAACGCAGTTGCAGGCTCCCGACCCTGGTCTGGGGCATTCGGGAGGCAACCAATCAATGTGTCTCTCTCACATCAGTGTTTCTGTCTCTCCCTCTCCTTTCTATTCTCTCTAAAAATCAATGTAAAAATATCCTTGGGTGAAGATTGTAAATAATAATAATAATCATCATCATCAGAACAGCCTATTTATTATTAAAACTGAATGTTGGGTGAATCTGAGGTGCTTTCACCCCAACCAAACCAGAAATAGGACATTTACACAAAACATTGTATTGAGTGCCCACTAAGTGCCAGGCAGACATGCCAGGCAGGATATTTCTGCCTTCAAGGAGCCTTTGAGTCTCCCAGGGTCAGTGAAGGAGTGAGCGATTATAAAACAGCGCAATACAACTCGATGGGGCAGGGCTGGCAGGAAGATGTTCCGAGACCAGAGGATGAACAAGCAGGTGGATCTGAAGGACGCGCCTCA